GTTAGTGTACGGCTGGCATAGGCGACAACGTACTCGTCGCAGCCATCTTTGCATTGAGCGAGAATGGCACCGAGGCCGACACCGCTTGCATCCGTTTGAATTTCAGTGGGTGCATTGGGATCGAAGTGGCGGAGAACTGGCGGAGACTAGAGTAGCCGGCGTAGCGCCGTGAATGCCTCATCGCAGTGGGAATTCCAGCCGGGGGTTCCGCACTACGGGAGAGAAGCTGAGTCAAAGGGGCAATTATAGAGGCAAAATTGCGAATGAAACGCCGAAAATAGGAACACAAGCCTACGAAACCACGAAGCTCCTTTAGGGTAGTAGGCTTGGGGTACTCGGCAACGGCACGCAGTTTGTCAGGATCTGGCGATATTCCTTCTTTTGAAACGACGTGGCCGAGAATTGTGAGTTTGCGGGCGCCAAAACGACATTTCTTGAAGTTTAGTTGCAACTCAGCTGCCGTAAGGCACTGGAGAACTTGTTCCAGACGGGAAAGATGAGTTTCAAAATTCGCCGAGAATACAACTATGTCGTCTCAATAGCAAAGACAGATGTGCCATTTAAGTCCCCTGAGGACACTGTCCATCATTCTTTCAAAAGTCGCAGGCGCATTGCAAAGACCGAAGGGCATTACATTAAATTCATATAAGCCGTCAGGGGTCACAAACGTCATTTTTGGGCGGTCTGGTTCAGCTATTGGCACTTGCCAATATACAGAGCGCATATCCAGTGAAGAAAAAAACTCCGCACCTTGAAGGCAATCCAAGGCGTCACCAACGCGTGGCAGGGGATAAACATCCTTGCGTGTGATGTTGTTTAGTCGATGATAATCTACGCAAAACCTGATGGAACCATCCTTTTTTCGCACGAGGACCACTGGCGAAGCCCAAGGACTGTGCGAGTGCTGAGTAACAGCACGTTGCAGCATCTCGTCAACGTGTTGAGTGATGACGTCACGCTCAGCCTGCGAGACGCAGTAGGGGCGCTGACGAAGTGAAGTATGATGACCGGTGTCGATATGGTGAGCGACAACTGACGTGCGTCCCAAGGGAGGTTGTCCATGGTCGAAGGAGGCACGGAAACGGTCGTCAAGTAGTTGAATGAGCTGATTGCGCTGGTCTTGCGTAAGGCCGGTGTCTACGCTGCGCAACAGAACGTCTTCGTCAAGTAGTGAGGGCGCGGTGGCAGCTGCGACAGCATCCACGGACATCGGTGTCGTATCAGAACGGGCATCGAAAGGAAAGATGTCATCATAAGTGTCAAGACTCCCAATGCATTCGCCATGCAATAAGGTAGCGGGACAAGGGAACGGATTGCGCACGTACACAGCACTGGAGCCATCGGCAAGTGTTATAACGGCAAACGGGATGACAAGGTTCCGGCGGCGAGCGCATTCTTGTGACGGCATAAATAGGGCAGTTGAATCGGAAACGGAGTTGCACAAAAGAGATACCGCGATGACCGAAAAAGCAGAAATGACGACGTCAGCGGTGACGATCACCTTTTTGGGTGAGCGAGGGAGATCTATGAATGTCGTGCTGAATGGAAACAAAACGAGTTGAGCACGAGCGCAGTCAACAACCGCATGATTAGCGGAAAAAAAGTTCCATCCCAGGATGATTTCATGAGACGCATGCGGAAGGACGACAAATTCAACGATGTAAAGCACTCCTTGAATCAAAACACGAGCAGTGCATGTGGCAGAAGGTTGGACGTGTTGCGAACTCGCCGTGCGTAAAAAAATTTCAACCAGTGGAGTCATCACTTTGTTCAGTTTGCGGCATAACACTTCACTGATTATACAAATAGCGGCAGCTGTGTCGACAAGAGCAGTTGTGGCGAAACCGTCCACAAACACGGCAATCTCGTTAGGGGGCGAAAGATGAGGCCTTGGAAATTTCGTCGGTGGCGCAGCTCTTGCCTCAGGAACTGCGACTGTTAGTTTTCCTCCTGGGCGTGGTTGGAACGGCGAAGCATGCGGGAAGGAGACCGAAGACGAGGTGAGGGAGATCGACATCGGCTGAAGTCCGGTCGACGTGAGCGGGGGTCATGTGAATCAGGTGTCACATGCGATTCTGATTGCCGAGGTATGTTGCCGGAATGCTGAACATCAATAAAATAGAATCCACGGCGACGACAGTCTCGCGCGACATGTCCTGGAATACCACAGTTGTAGTAGACGGGCCGGTTTTCCGGAGTATGCCAAGAGTTTACAGGTGCTCAAGGTGGTGGAAAGGGCCGATTTACCGGATAAACCGAAACTGGTGACCTGTATTAGTTGGTGGCTGGACTATATGAAGGGAGCGGCGGTTGGGCAGGAGGTCGGCGGATGGCTTCTGCATAAGTCAGCGGTGCAGCCACTGATATTGGGGATGCGGGCGAAGGGAGAGCCGCGGCAACTTGCGTCTGAATAGCACGGCGAAGTGAGTGGTCCAGTGTTGTGGGGGTCTCGTTGATGGTGGCGACAAGAGAGAGCTGTCGAGCAACTTCCTCCCGGATGTACTGTTGAATTTGAGGCATTAACACGCTGTAGTCGGGGCCACTGCTTTTGCACTCCAAGGCCGAAATATCAGCTGTTTGCGTATTAGCGCGACGTGCAGAAATTCGTTGCTTGCGCAGCTCATCGAAACTTTGACATAGCTGAATCACGGCCGTGACGGTCTGTGGGTCTTTGGCCACAAGCATATGAAAAGTGTCGTCATCAATGCCTTTCATTATATTCTTTATTCTGTCAGCCTCCGTCATCCTGGCATCAACTCGCCTACAGAAGCTGATCACATCCTCAATGTAGCTCGTGAAGCTCTCACCATTTCGCTGAAATCTTCCCCGCAGTCCCAGTTCAGCACGAAGCTTACGCATGGCTGGACGACCGAAAAACGAGGTGACGGCCTCTTTGAAAACCGACCAGGTGGGGATGTCGGCTTGGTGATTGGTGAACCATAGGTTGGCCAAATCCATCAAGTAGAAGGTGACGTGAGTCAGCTTCACAGGGTCATCCCACTTGTTAATCGCGCTGGCATGCTCGTACTCTGCCAGCCAGTCCTCGACATCTTGATCTTCAGTGCCGTTGTATACTGGTGGGTCACGCAGACGAAGTACACCAGAACACATGACAGGTGGCAGCGTGGAAGAGCCTTGTGGGGGATCGACACGCTCGGTCATCGCGGACTGAGATGGTAGCTTACGGCTGCGGAGCTCCAGGACGTTACCCAGCACCTCCACCAAATGCAACGAGCAAGGTTGCGTAAAAACACAGGTTATTATTCGAGAAACCTTAGCCGCAACAAGCTGGTACAGGCAGGAACCCGGCAAGCACGAGCCACACACGGACATCAACGTCTTCTTTCACGCTGGCACAGAGCTGGCGCCACTATGCTTCGGTACAGAATAAACAAATAAATAAAATAAATAAGTTTACCTATTGAAGTACAAGTACAAAGCCATTGATTTTTGTTTACGACTGCTTTTTTTGTTGCCTTATGCAACAACTCCTGCAAGGGCCGAGTGAGCCTGCAGTATATTCAAATAAAAAAAAATGTTGCTGTGCTTATCTTCCACTGTATGTATTTTGTTCTTTCATAAAAAGGTAATTACTTTGTAGTTATGTCAGTGCTGTCGCTTTTTGCACTGTTTCTTGATATCCTAATTTGGTATGTTACGAGGCTTATACCTGTTTATCAGATTCAACAGATGAGTGAATTTTATTAATTTATGGCAATCCATTTATCTGTTATTTATGTAGAGTTTCGTGCTTCAAGAGATGTTGCTTATTTTGTACCTCCAACTTCATTTGCTGATATACAAATTGGTCTAGTTATGGTTTCCTCTGTGTTTTGTTTTCTTCAAGTTGATGGCAAGCATTGCCCTCACTAGCCTATGATTGGTGGATTTTACTGTGCTACTGTTATGTCCTGTACTATGCTTTGGTCTTTTTCATGTTTTTCCCCCTTATATACAACCAGCTTTTCCCAAATATAGACTCATATGCGTGCCCTGTAGCTAGAAGATAAATGAGGTCCCTAAAACATTAAAGTGCTTTCTTTACATGAACGAGTGAATGGATCAAGCTGCTACCAGTACACAATGAGATCAAATGAGAACAATCAATCCTGAAGTGCAAAACACCTGCATGGTTCAATTTCATACATTTATTTATGATGCTGGTGCATTTGAGCATTATTTGTTTATTGATTGCTGCTTACTTTTATTGCGTGTATGTTAGCCTTCTGCCTAATGTCTCTATTAAAACAAGTATTTCTTTTTTTGTATGTTCACAACTTCACAAGCACACCCACCCACATATACCAATCAGAATGGCTGTTTGGGGGAGTCAGCGATTCAGAATAATTGAAATACGAGCTTGTCACTAGAGAGAAATATCATATAAACTAACTTCCCTTCATTCGCCCTGCTGCTTTGAGCTCTAGGCATGCTGTATTCTGCTAACAGATAGAACAGAACTTCTACACCATTTTGTGATGCTTTTATATTTTCTGACCTATATGTCTAGCAAGTTTTTTTGTGTTTCACATATAGGTAACATTATGGTAAAAAGCATGCTTGATGCTCGCAGTTTTGTGTAAGCTTGTGTCTTGCAGATTTACATTTTGCATTCCCCAAAGCAACTTTGCCTGTGCAGCACCCCAAACCCTGCTTGTGTTTGTCTGTGATGCCATTTGGGTTGTTCAATGCTCCTTGTAAGTCTGCATGTGCAACTTTTGCATTTCCCTAGTATGCAAAATATAAAAAGGTCTAGTGAGTGAATGTGCTGACAGCATTATGGCATCAAATAATTTACAATACCAATGGCACTTGCTTATTAAACATGTTGCATGCTAATAAACACATTCATAAGTTCTGAATTATATAGTGGGTAGCTAGCATGAATGAAACCCAACATTAAACACATTGCTACATTTACCCAAGAAATTTGAACCATACAGCTCGTAAGCACTACTGGAATTATTTTCTTTTGTACTAAGGCACGAAGACTAAGCAAGTTGAGGACTAAAAGTTTATGTTTCTTTTTTGTAAACCTAAAAAAATTCAGGTGGGGAGAAAAAAATCGCCTGCTGCCTTCGCGTGGCATTTACAGTCTTGTAACAGTCACACTGGTTCGATTTGCTTAGCGGCTCATTATGATTTCAAAAGAACCAAAAAACAATACATTGAACCAGGCAGCTGCTTTATGCAAAGTTCAACAATGCCTTCACATCTAGCCCATCCACCTCCAGCCCCCTGTACATATAAACATGAGCATTTTCACCAGAGAACCAACTCACATATGCCGAACTGCACAAGGCTACTCTCCCAAAATGAGCTGTTGGAACTAAATTAGCAACAACATATACCCTTGGCTTTTGGTGCCCTGTTCTTGGAACCTTCAATCCAACACCAGCCTCCACTCATTGCTTTCTATAGCTCGCAATGCAGCTTACAAAGTGGGAAAATTATCACTGATTGCAGTTGTCTTCTTGAAGAACGATCCTGCTTCATCCGACGTCGCTTCATGGTCGGCTTCATCTGCCCAGGGAGATGGGAGGCCTGAAGTTATGGTGACCACCCTAGCTTCAACACCTGGAGAATCAACAAATATGATGGCTTTTTGTGCACTGTTTTTCACGAAACCCTTAACAACCAACAGTGCTGCATATGCTCCAGCTGTTCAAACTCTAGCACGAGAACAATGCATAATAATAATAATAATAATAATAATATTTTGGGTTTCTTACAAAACCATGCCATGATTATGAGGCATGCTGTAGTGCAAGGCTGTGTAAATATAGAGCACCTGGGATTCCTTAATGTGCACTGAAACTGCACTGTACACGAGGCCCTACCATTTCACCTCAACTAAAATTAGACGCCAGTAATGCAGCACTTAGTACCTTGCACATACTACTTTGTAGAAAATGCATTCTAATACATCTCAAGCTGGCATGATTTCACTGCCTTGGCAATAACAGCTTTGCTGGGCGCATTGAACAGTGTTTTAAGAATATAACACCGGTTTCCTCGCCTGATCCTCCCAGACTTTCTTGATCATGATTAGGTGTTTTACTCAACCAGAAGAAGGATGCTATCGCCGATACCCATAGAGCTCAAACACGATCTCCTAGCTGTCGTTTTCCGTTTGCGCAGACAGATTGGTCAGCTACAGGCGTTGAAATAATTTTGATGATCTTTTAATAGTAATTACTTTTCTTAAAGAATAGTTACACCAACACAACAGAAATTGTGTCTTTAAGAAATACATAATATTCGCGGGAATCGATCCGAATGGTCCACTGTGCAGCTACGCCACTGATTCCACAGCGCATTCATTTGTTAACAAACGTCCCAGAGTCTTGGGCTCAAGTTACGTGTATCTCCTTGCGTTGACACGTGCAGCATCGGCTCTTTCAGATACGTTACTTCGAGCACATACCCACATGAAAAATGTTTGTCGTCTGCGCGATCAACATCCTTAGAAATTACTAGGCCCTTTGATAAAACAAGGAAGCAACGGGCAATCCCGAAAACCTCGCCCGCAGGTCCTCGAAGCGGTAGACAGAAGTAAAAACAAGCACGGACGTTACGTGACGGCACGGCAGGGCTACACACCTCGGTGGCGGACCACGTACACACCGCACCATCCGCCAGCAACAACAATCCTCGCGCACCATGCCGCCAACCGCGAAAAGACAGCAACAAGCCACGTTGCAACAAGCTCGCCTAGGGATAGAATGCCATCTCACTTGTTTTCAAGTAGTACCTAGGCTTAGGGAAATCTTTAAGGAACAAGCGGGGCGAAAGCTTCCCCGGATCCAAGTTACCCGGATAAATTCTGTGAGAAAAGAAAGACTCATCCTCAACAATTCACGAGAGCAGTTCACACAAACACGCGCACAATAGATTGGACCAGCGCAAGCTATTATCGCCGAATGGGCTCGCTTTCGTCGTGACACCTGTCGAACAAAATGCGTTAAAGGGGCCCTGAAACACTTTTGCAAGTAACCATGGAATGAATTCACTAGAAGTGCTTATTGCCTCACAAATTCAACGCCGCAAAAATTTTAAGAATCCGTCCAGTGCGAGTAGAGTTACAAAGGTTTCTCGCATGCTGCAATTGCATTATCTCTTCTCTTGTCCCGACGAAAGCGCTGGAAGCTAAGCAGGGACGTGTGGCAGAGCAAAGAAAGTACCGCGCCTCGCGACCGTGAGCACGTTTTTTTTTTTTCTTCGAATCCGCGGCTTTGTCGGTGTAATCGCGCGCGCACGCGTGGACAACTAGCGGCCTCCCGCGGCTGTCTCAATAACTGGGTGAGTGGTGGTTGTGTTGCAGTGTGCGCGTGCTTGTGGTGATCGTGTAAACATCAGCGGCAAAGCGAAGCGACCCACCTTCAAGAATGCAATCGGCGGACCAATGAAAACCCCGGGCCTGTCAAGACGCACTTGGTACGTGATGACATGCATTACGCATATTACCCAGCGCAATACAAACCTGAACACCTAGGCCTAACGCACTGAGACCCGCACGACAAGCAAACGGACAACATGCGCCACCTATGTCCCGGCAAACATAACTAACTATTCGGAACTCTCCCAGGCGGCAATTTCAAATAGAACTGGTGCCAGCCTTAAGAATAGCCTATCGGTAACATATAGCAAATAGAGGCAGAACAACAACACAAATCGAACATCAACACCTACACAAACTAACACTACCATTTTATGAGAAATTATAGCAACAGGACCCGGACTCGCCGAGGTGCCCCAACAAAAGGAACCAGTGCCCGTGTAGAGGAGGACTCGTCGGACGGAACAGTAATGGTAGAATGTGAGACCTGCCAAGAATGGGCAAACATTGATGACACCCCGTTCTCCAGCACACAAGAAGCCCAGGCAGGCAGATACACGTGCAACCTCTGCACGAGACTCGCAGCAATGCAGGCTTCAATCGCACTTCAAGAAATAAAACTGCGGTGCCGACACTCACAACAAATTAGCCAAATAAAGGCCGATGGGAAGCTGCTCAAGCGGAAGCTAAAATAGATAGGCAAAACCTACACACTTGCTGAGCACAGAGCGCAACTTGCGGGAAAAACTCGAGGAAGAGATTGGTACCCTCCAAACCCAAATAAAAAAACTCGAACAGACAAACAGTACTCAGGACGCCCAAGAAAACGGAGACCAGGCTACCTCAACTCCTCGACACGACCTCCGGGACACCAGAGCCAAAACACCCCTCAGACAAGCAATTTCGCAGCCAGTGGAAGGAAGACATTCCATCACAGGGCACAAGCAGGATAAGTGAAGACATTGAGCACACAGTTGAGCTAGCAGAGGAAGGCAATCCTGGGACCACAGGTGGGCAAAAAAGGCCGACCCTTGAAAAACAGAGAACACCAGCCAGAAACAGCAGCAGCTCAGCGCTGACCATAAACAGAAACATCCCTATCCTCAAATGCAGTCAATGACCATCCCCACAAATCAAACGCACTGTAGTCCTAGGCGACTCCAATGCCCATCGATTGAAAAAGCACCTCCGTAAAGCTATACATGATCAAAGACTACGCATCACTACAAAATCTGGTGCCAATCTTGAAGAAACACTTCACCGAGCTGAAGGAGAATTCAGAAGGCAAATGCCACCAACACAGAGCTGCAACTAATAATACATGTAGGTACTACTGATCTTTTAAATAAAGCAGACATTAAAAAAGACCACTGACCACCTGAAGCAAACAACTGACTTACTGGAGCCAAAAGACACCCAAACACCACTACATAGTCAGTGCCATCCCTGAACCGAAAGCAAGGGGTCAAAATTTGCTACAGCATGCCAAACATGGAACACGGCAGTTCAAACGGCGTGTACAGCCTTGGGCCCAAGTGTGCGGTTTATGTCAGCAGCCGCCCAGCTAACCGCAGATCACCTGGATGATATCCACTACTCGGAACAGGCAGCGGACCAGGTTGGCAGCAAACTAGGTGAGGCCATTAAATCTTTTTTATGGGACAAACAACCAACGCGCCCACAACACTGGAGACGATCAACAAGACCAGATCAAAGGACAGTGCAAACGCTACTGAAAGCAATGACAACAGCCCTAGGCAAACTAGGACAGAGAAACCGGCACTGGTAAGCAACCAAGCAGGCAAAACCATACGCACAACCCCCCCCCAATTTCAGTCCTCCAGAGATCATTGTCAATCACTTTCCAGAAAAAGAAGAACAGAAGAACAAAGCAGAGTGAAGTGAAAAAAGAACTCACCATATGCCTACTAAACATGCAAGGAACAAACAAACTCAAGTGGGCTGAACTCCAAGACCAAGTGAACAGACAAAAAATAGATATCTACGCTCTAACGGAAACTCACCTGCGGGACGACGAACAACCTCCTGCTCCCGGGGCTAGTATGGCAAGGAAAGAACAGAAGTAAAGGACAAAAACGGGGTGGAGGCATTGGTTTTATTACACCGAAGAGAAGCACGGTAAATGGGGACTGCCAGGACAAGGAACACATGTGGATAAAAATAAAGATTGACACACGTGACCTGTACATTTGTGTCATATACATGGCAACAGGCCTCGAGGAACAAAAGTGGAATGACAGCATTTACGCATGCCTCAAGAAAGACATTGAAGAAACCTACAAAGGCCAACCGGTACTACTGATGGGAGATTTCAACTGCCACATAGTAGAATTGGATGGTCACGAAAAAGATGCTGCTGGCTTCCGAAAATTAATTAAACAATGCAACCTACAAATAGCAAACCTCCATCCAGCTTGTGAAGGCACCTACACATGGTCACGCAGAGCTAACAAATCTGCTATAGACTACATACTTTACAATCAAGAGGTAGTAAGGCAAGATATAAACATCACAGCTCTGTACATAGACGAAGACAAAACAAACAGCTGTGGAAGTGACCACAACCGAATGAAACTGTGCCTCAGACGCCATCAACCCCATCGAGTAAACCGGCCTGAAACTACAAAAGCTCACTGGCGAGTGAAAGAGCAAGAGCGCCTGGATGAATTTTCCAATAAACTCGAGTCAACATTAACAGAACCTCTAACATACGAGGAATTCGCAGAAAAATGCCTGTCAGTAGCACAAGAAACCATTGGGAAAACTAGTGAAAAAAAAGGACCAGAAACACACCTTGGTTTGATGGAGAACTGAAGACAGAAATTCGCATTCGCAAAGAATTATCCAGAAGGCACCGTCATACGCCCAATGAGTCGACAGAAAAAGAGGTAATTTGGAAGGAATACCTGGCCCAAAAAAGAAAAGTAAAGGAAATGGCCGCAAAAAAGATAGACCAGAAATTCCAAAAAGAAGAAGAAAACCTGCATAAGGATCGTAACCATTACAGTCAGAAGTTTTGGGCATACATAAGGACACTGGAACCAAAGGACACCCTTCAGGAAGATCCACTCATACTACTTACTGAAAATAGCATTCCTCTACATACCAAAGAAGAAATTGAACAGCACATAACTAAACATTTTAAAAATATGCAAACCAATCCAGTAGATCCACCACCCCAGATCAGCAGTAGAAAAAAGGACAAGACCAGCACACC